TCAAAAGCATCAATTCTTCTGTGGTCTTCCTTATTCATTGCCCAGCTTTCACATGCATATGAGGTTATTGAAAATGCACAATTTAAGGGTTCTAGAATTTCCATCCTTTGCAATGTTATCCATAGCTTGTTAGGATCCATGTAGCTAATCCTTTGCAGAGTTGATAAAACACAAATAAACTTTTTCTGGTATTCTCTGCTTCCAATCAAGTTCCATCTGATATCAGCAATGATATCACTCCTTACATATCCTCTACTGATTTCAACTTGAATTTCTGGCAGTGCCTAGTCTATGTACTGCTGCAATAGTTTTTTAGTTATCTTCATTAAAAATTTATTTGCATGTGATATTAATGATGATTTCCACATTCCATTGGGTTACTTTTCTTTGGAATAGGCACAAATATTAACCTCTTCTAATCAGCTGGCCAAGTAGATGTCTTCCAAATTTCTTGGCATAGACAAGTAAGCACCCCCAGAGCTTCATCTATTTGTTGAAACATTTCAATTTGTATTCTGTCAATTTCTGGAGCCTTGTTTTTCACCAATCCCTTCACTGCAGCTTAGGACTTCTTCCTTCAATACCATTGGTTCTTGATCATATGCTATCTCCTGAAAAAGCTGAACTCTGACCAGTTCTTTCTGATACAGTGACTCTGTGTATTCCTTCCATATTCTTTTGATGTTTCCAGCATCATTGAATATTTTGCCAAAAGAATCCTTCAATATTTCAACTTGAGGCTTGAATTTGTTCTTCAATTCTTTCAGCTTGAGAAATACTGTGTATTCTTTCCTTTAGTTTTCTGACTCTAAGTTCTTTGCACAATTCACATAATAATTTATTCTGTTTTCTCAAGCTACCCTTGGAAATTTCCTTTTAAGCTCTTTTACTTCATCACTGCTTCCAGTCAAAAATGTAAATTCATGGATATCCTATAACTGAATAGTGGAACAACTATTTGGTTACCATGTTGAGTCTTGGGGAAAGAGTAAGATCCAAAGACCTGCATTTTAAATCAGTTCCCCAGTTAAAACTGAAATAGGCTAACGTTTGAGAATACTAGACCCTTTCCTCTCAGTGTTTTCATCCATTGCCATGGTTTTAAGTGGTTACGAATTGGGCTGCGAAACTCAAAGTTAGCAGTTTGAAACTACCAGCTGTTCTGCGGAAAAAAGATGAGGCTTTCTGTTCCCGTAAAGATTTACAGCCTCAGAAACCCTGTACAGGGTTGCTATGAGTTGGAACCAACTCCACGGCACGTAATCATCAACCATCAATCATAGAGGCCAATGCTTCCTAGTCTTGCTGAGTTCTCTCTCCTGAGCTCTAGCCATATGCATCTACTTGCCAGATTACCCACCTGCCTGATCTAGCCACCACAAATGCCCAACAGTTAAGTTTTCACAAAACCTACTCCTATCAAACTGACAACAGCCACCGGAAAGATTAGATAAGACACTTAAGGACAGTTGTTGTTAAGTGCCATCGAGTCAGTTCCGACCCATAGCCACCCTGTATAGGGTTTCCAAGGAGCAGCTGGTGGGCTTGAACCGACCTTGCAGTTCACACAACTTTGCAGTCTGATGCATTAGCCCACAGCGCCACACCAGGACTCCTTAAGGAAATGGGCTTATATTAATGGGGAAGGAATTAGTAAGAAAAGGTAGATGAGAATGGTTGTAGGACCCGATGCCACTGTACTGTACATATATAAATTGTTTGTTTGGTATGTTTTGCCATGTATATTTTCAAAACATTAAAAAACAAAATTATTTTCCAAAGTTTAAGAACTTAGCAAATATCGCCGTCAATCAAGTATTGTTCTACTGTGAAATCTGGTCATCCTTCTTAACTCTTTCCCGTTCCTATGCAGGCCCCTAAGTCCTCTAGACTGCTATGGCCACTCATAAGGACTCTGTATAGGATTTCCCCTGCTGAGGTTTTGGTGCTTATCCTACAGCACCACACCCAGACTCCATCTTTTAGATTTGTTGTGTTATAGACTCAGTTTCAATGCATAGTGACCCTATATTAGGTTTCTCAGAAATGACTGGTGAGTTTGAACTGCCAACCTTGTGGTTTAGCAGTCAAGTGCTTACCCTATAGCGCCACACCAGGATTTTGCCCTTTAGATTACACCTCACATCTCCTTAATATCCTTTTTTTTTTTTTTTAATGAGTGCAGTGTGGCTCCATATGATAAGCGCTGGACTGCGTACCACAAGGTCCTCGGTTTGAGCCAGCCAGCCGCTCCTCAAAAGAATGATGACACTTTCTGCTTCCAAAAAGATTAAAAGCCTTGGAAACCCTATATATGGTCGCTCAGTCGGAATTGACTCTACGGCACTTAACCAACGACATGGGTTTTGGACTTCAGGTGTGGCGCTGTAGAATCAGCATTGAACTACGTGAATCACAAGGTAAGCTGTTTGAATCCACCAGCAACTCCTTGGAAACCCTATACAGAGTTGCTATGAGTTAGAACCGACTCCACTACACTTAAGAACAACAATATCTTTTTATTGTCTTCACCTTAGAACGTAAGCGTGCCGCCACCTCGAAATCACTATCTTGTCTCCTTTCAACCATGGCCTTCATACTGATAATCTCCAGCCTACTCTTCACTGCCACCACAGTAAACTAAAACCCAAACTTCATCCAATCATTCTTTTGGTTAAAGCCCTTCAATAACTTCCAGTTATCCTCAGGGTGAAGCCGACGTTTAGCAAGACTTACAAGACTGTCAGCTCAACCACCACTCAAATGAACTTTCTGACTTTCTCAAAGATGCCTGCTCCTGAAACCTCTCAGTGTTTATTTAACTTGCTAACTCGTACACATCCCTGGAAATCTCAGAAGCTTTTCCTGATTGTTACCCTAGTCTCCCTACAGCTTAGTCAGGGGTCTCCTCCAGGTAACCACATCCAGCTATTTCCCCTATTAGGCTGCTTTCGGATTCCTCGCAGGACTGAACCCTAGAGAGAACTGGGTGGTTTAATGCTTACAGCGGGCGTCGCAGGAGCAGAAACCCTAAGTAGGGTAAGAACGAACTGCCTCACAGGCGCCAACCCGGGCTCGGCGAGAGCAGTAACACAGACCAGATGGGCATGGCAAAGGGAACAGAAAAAGGAAAACGAATTCAGTGGAGACAAAAAATAAGGGGCAAGAGATGGAGAAAAAACACTCACAGCGGCAGAAATCCCACCAGCCGCCATGACGTTCCAGAGCCCCGCCCCACCCTGAAAGATGCGCCTGCGACTACCGGCGCGAAGGCTCATGGGAGGCTCAGTGACGTCACTGGGAGCGCGACCGGTTACTCCACCTACCACTAAACGGCTTCTCACTTGTTCAGTGAAATTGAGTCAGTTCTCACTCTTAACGACCCTGTTTAGAGTTTGCGAAGATCCTCTAGTGAGTTAGAACCAGCGACCTTGCAGTTCAAACCGACCTTGCGGTCCAGTGTTTACCCTACAGCGCCACACCAGGACTCCTTCCCTAAATCCTAAGTAAAAAACAAAAATGCAATCAAATCAATTCTGACTCAGAGCGATCCTACATAGAATTTCTTGAGACTGTGGCGCTGTGGGTTAATGCGCCAGACTGCAAAGCCGTTTGAACTGCAAGGTCGGCAGTTCAAGCTCACCAGCTGCTCCGCGGAAACCCTATACTCGACAGCACTTCACAACAACAACAATATACAGCGTAATGGTTACGAGTCGGACTGCTAAATCTCAAGGTCAGCAGTTCGAAAGTACCAGTGGTTCCGCGGGAGAAAGATGAGGCTTTCTGCTCCTGTAAAGATGTACAGCCTCGGAAACCCTATGAGTCCAAACCATCTCCATGGCACACCACCATCACCACAGCCTCATCTTTCTTCTGTGGAGCGACTAGTGGATTTGAACCTCCCACCTTGCAATGGGTTCAATGCTTATCCTATGGGGTCACGGGCTACAGCCCTGGTGCACAATGGTTAAGCGCTCAGTTTATAACTGCAATACCCGCAGTTCAAACCCAAAAAGATGCTCTGCTTCCGTAAAGATTACATCATTGGAAACCTTACGGGGCAGTTTAACTCTGACCTTTAGGGTCACTATGAATCAAAATGAACTGGAGGGCTTTTTTTGGTTTTAGAGCTTCTTGACTTTCTGCTGTCTCTCCTTCCCATCTTTAGATGGGATTCAGTGTGGGAACTCAAAAACAGCTGGCCTAATTGGTAGTTCTTAAGTACCTTTCAGGACTCCTGGTGTGGCGCTGTAGGATCAGCACTGGACTTGGAACCACAAGGCAAACAGTTCAAACCCACCAGTTGTTCCTTGGAAACCCTAGACAGAGTCACTATGAGTCACAACTCAGCAGTACTTAACAACAAGTCTCTTTTAATCCCTCTGAACTTGCCAGACAGAAGTGCTTCCTGCTTAGTGCACCAAGAGTACATCATTGTTGTCACTGTGTAGTCGTTGTTAAGTGCCATCAAGTCAGTTCTGACTCATAGCTACCCTGTATAGGGTTTCCAAGGAGTGGCTGGTGAGTTTGAACCGCTCACCTTTTGGTACAAACTGACCTTGCAGTCAAGTGCTTTATCCCATAGCACCACACTTGTGTTATGGCCTTAAATTCATTGTGAACTTCTGGGAGACAACAGCATTGCTCTATTTGTCTTTGTCTTCTGGTTCCTAAGGTAGTGCCAAGAAATTTGGAAGACAGTTACCTGGTGAACTGATTGGAATAGATTCATATTTGTGTCTATTCCAAAGAGAGGTGACACAATGGAATGTGGAAATCATCTGACAATATCATTAATATCACATGCAAGCAAAATTTTGCTGAAAATAATTCAAAAACAACTGCAACAGTACACTGACAGGGAACTCCCAGAGGTTCATGCCAGATTCAGACGAGGACATAGAATGAGGGATATCATTGCTGACGGCAGATTGATTTTAGCCAAAAGCAGAGAATACCTGAAAGATGATTTATCTGTGCTTTATTGACTATGCAAAGGCTTTCAACTATACAAATCATGACAGGCTATGTACAACATCATGAAAAATTTGTGTTCCAGGACACTTAATTGTCCTCATGAGGAACCTGTACATAGATCAAGGGTCAATAATTCGAACATAACAAGAGGACACTGAATGGTTTAAAATCAGGAAAGGTGTGCACCAGGGTTATATTCTTTCACCATACTTATTCAATCTCTATGCTGAGCAAATAATCCAAGAAGCTGGATTATGTGAAGAAGAACTGGCCTCAGGGTTGGAGGACGACTCATTAACAGACGATACAAACTTGCTTGCTGAAAGCAAAAAGTGCTTAAAATGCTTATGAAAATCAAAGACTACAGCCTTCAGTATGGGTTGTATCTTAATGTAAACAAAACAAAAATCCTCACCACTGGACCAATAAATGACTTCATGATAAATGGAGAAAAAGACTGAAGTTGTCAAAAACTTTATTTTGCTTGAACCCACCATCAACACTCAAGGAAGCAGCAGCCTAGAAATAAAAGGATGTATTGCATTGGGCAAATCTGCTGCACAAGACTTCTTTAAAAGTATTCAAGAGCAAAGATGTCAGTTTGAGGACCAAAGTGCACCTAACCCAAACCATGATCTTTTCAGTCACCTTATATACATGTGAAAGTTGGACAATGAAGAAGGAAGACAATGTAGAATGTTGGACAATGTAGACTTATCAGTGCTTTTGAGTTATGGTGCTGGAGAAAAATATTAAAGGTACCATGGACTTCTAGAAGAATAAACTAATCTGTATTGGAAGAAGTACAACCAGAATGCTCCTTAGAAGTCAAAATGACCAGACTTCCTCTCTTATACGTCAGACATTTTATCAGGAGGGACCAGCTCCTAGAGAAGGATATCACGCTTGATAAAGTACAGGGTCAGCGACAAAAAGGAGACCCCCCAAGGAGATGGATTGGCACAGTAGCAGCAGCAATGGACTCAAGTGTAGCAGCAATAGTGAGGATGGCACATGACTAGGTGGTGTTTCGTTCTGTTGTACAAAGAGACCCTATAGGTGGGAATAGACTTGGTGGCACCAAACGCAGTTTTTGTCATTAAGTAAGAACTTGATAGGCATTTGTAGATAAATTAAAGAAAGCCTTTGATCTTAGTAGGCAGTAGAATGTCCAGATTCATTGAACTATGTTATTGTTGTTCAGTGTCATTGAGTCGGTTCTGACCCATAGCAACCCTGTATAGGGTTTCCAAGGAGCAACTGGTGAGCTTGAACCACCGACTTTGTAGTTCAAATGGCTTTCAAGTCTGGCGCATTCCAAAAAAGCCCTGGTGGTACAGTGGGCTAAGCACTTGGTTGCTAAAAACAAGGTTGTCAGTTCAAACTCATCAGTTGCTCCATGAGAGAAAGATGCAGCTATCTGTTCTGATTTACAGTCTCAGAAACCCCAGGGAGTGGGTCTATTCTGTTCTCTTGTTAGAATCAACAACTCAATGGCAGTGAGTTTGTGTGCATTCCTTACTGTTCTAGGCTCTAGAGATAACAATAGTCCGGGGAGATGATGACAACATAAAAATCCCTACTCTCACGGAGGTTATATTCTAGAACAAAGAGACTAACAAACTGGTAAAATGTATAGAACATTAGTCATATGTGCTATGAAAAGAGAAACAGGAAATGGAAGGGGGTTTTCCTTTATATAGAATGAAGTTCTTACTGAACAGGTGACTTCATAATCTAAGAACAAAAGGAAAGGAAGGATTCAAGTGACGGGGATCTGAGAGAAAGAGTGGACAGAGGGAATAGCAAACAAAGATTCTGTGGCAGGAAGAACCGCAAAGAAACCGGTATGGCTACAGGAGGGGAGACAAGATGAGAAAGGAAGGTAGGGAAGGGATGTTGAAGACCGGTATACACTTATTGTTGTTGTTAGGTACTGTCAAGTCAGCACGAACTCATAGCGACCCTACGTACAACAGAATGAAGAAGCACTGCCCATATCCTGCGCCAATCTCACACTTGTTGCTACACTTGAGTCCATCGCTGCTGCCACTGTGCCAATCCATCTCCTTGGGGGTGTTTCACTTTTTCGCTGACCCTCCACTTTACCAAGCATGATGTCTTTCTCCAGGGACTGATCCCTCCTGACAACAAGTCTGAAGTATGAGAAATGAAGTCTGGCCATTTTGGCTTCTATGGAGCATTCTGGCTGTACTTCTTCCAACACAGATTTGTTTATTCTTCTAGCAGTCCATGGTACATCAAATCAAATTTCAACATCATAAATCAAATGCATCATTTCTTCTATGGTCTTCCTTATCCATTGTCCAATTTTCACACGCCAAATCACTTTTTGGGAGAAGAAAAACAAATATGGCAAGTATAAACATTTAGATAAGAAGGCTGTAGTCATTTAACAGGAAAATGAAAGCTGTTTAATTTTACAAGTTATGATATTCCTTTATTCACCTTCACTTTTGATGCAAATTGTCTTTTTTAAAATTTTGCTGTGGTGCCAAATGTTTTATTAAGTGAATAGTTGTTTGTAGTTATTTCCCATTATTACACCAGAGATGTGTTCCTTCCTTTTCCACTAAAGCAACAACAGAAAGAAATCCACCAGGAGAAGCGGAAATCTCTCATTCACACCACTCCAGCCACACTGGTCTCCTTATTAGAATACCAGTGGAAGCCTAGTTCAAGTCCCGAACCTGGTCATTCTTTTTATTCCAGTATGTTTTGAACTCTGGTGGTAGTGTTAGGTGCCGACGAGTCAGTTCTAACTCGTACTGACCCTACTATGACTGCCTGGTTCTGCACCAGTCTCATAATTGTTGTTACATTTTAGTCCATTGCTAATCCATCTCCTTGGGGAGGGGGTCTTCCTCTTTTTCATTGACCCTTCACTTTACCAAGCATGATGGCCTTCTCCAAGGGCTGATTCCTCCTGATAACATGTCAGAAGTATGAGAGATGATTTCTCACCATCCTGGCTTCAAAGGAGCATTCAGGCTGTGTTTCTTTCAGCACAGATTTGTTTAATGGTTGGTGGCTCTGTAAGATAAGCACTGAACTGTGAACCATGATGTCAGTGGTTTGAATCCACTAGCCACCTGTGGGAGAAAGATGAGGTTTTCAGCTCCCGCAAAGATTTACAGACTCAGAAACCTTATACAAGGTAGCTATTATCATAGTTGAATTGTCACAGGAATGGTGACAATTACTGTGAAAATAC